TCAGGTTACCTGAGGCAGTCGTTGGGGGAAGGAGAAATTGGAAGAAGTCTGTCAAAAGCACAAACTTCCAGTTATAAGATAAATAAGTACCTGGGATGTAATGTATGATATGAACAAATATAATTACCACTATCATATACAGTGCTCATATATATGTTATATATTAAAGTTGTTACAAGAATAAACCTTAAGAGTTCTAATCACAAGGAAAAAATCTTTTTCTGTTTCTTTAATTTTGTCTATATAAAATGATGGATGTTCGCTAAAGTTATTGTGGTAATCATTTCATGATGTATATAAGTCAAATCATTATGCTGTACATCTTAAACTTATACAGTGCTGTATGTCAATTACATCTCAATACAACTGGAAGAAAAAAAAGCAAATGCAACACCATAAAATAAATAAATAAATAATAAATAAATAAAAGAACCATGTCATATAATATTCAACAAGCCTAAGACACAGTCTAAAATAGCATAGCTGCATTCTCCCTTGTAGACCCAAAGTTTGCCTTGCTGCTACTCCCAGCTAGAAATCTTCCCTAGTAATTCCTGCTGCATATATTCAGTTTTAATTTCTTGTGATTCAGAAAGGCTCATGGGAACAGAGGTCACAGCCCAGAGCCACCTCAGTGTGTGTAGACATCCACAGACAAGAACACGTTGTGGTTTACAAATAGTCTGTTCCAGAGATTCAGGGCACCCTGGGGCAGGTATAGAATGGACATGGCTGGTCAGTACTGGGAGACTCATGAAGAATAATGTGCAGGGAGTGGAACCTTTTGTCCTGGGAAGATGGGTTGGGTATACTTTTGAGGAACCAAGGGTTAGGGGTAGGAGTCTGGACAATGGTCAACTTAGCCTAGATGAGGAACCAAGGTAAGTGCCTCCTGAGAAGTTCAACTTCTCCCGCGATGTCTACTTTTGGATGTAAATAGCTATCCTCCTTAGAAGTTATACAAATGAACTCATATACTCTCTCAGTTGCCTTGATCATCTATAATGAAAAACAGGAGTGTGGCATGGCCTGAAGAGTATAGAAGTGTTTTAGTCAGCTTAAGCGGCTATAATAAAATAGCATAGACTGGGTGGCTTAAACAACAGACGTTTATTCCTCACAGTTCTGCAGCCTGGGAAGTCCAAAACCAAGGTGATGACACATTTGGTTTCTGGTGAGGGCCCACTTTCTGCTTTGCAGATCACTGCCTTCTTACTGTATTCTCACATGGTGGAGAGTGAGCAAGCTCTCTGGTCTCTTCTTATAAGGCCACTAACTCCATGATGAAGACCCGTCCTCACGGCTGTCTAAACCTAATTACATCCCAAAGGCCCTACCTCCAAATACCATCACACTGGGGGTTAAGGCTTTAACATATGGATTTGGGTGGACATAATTCAATCCATAGCAGAATAATGCCCCCCTCCCAATACGTCTGTGTCTTAATCCCAAGAACCTGTGATTATGTTACATAGCAAAAGGGAGCTCGTTGGCATGATTAAATTTAAGGACACTGAGTTGGGGAGATTATTCTGGAGTATCTGGGTGGACCCGATTTAACTGTGTGAATATTGAAAAGTAGAGAACCTTTCTTAGATCTCAGTCAGAAAAGTAAATGTGGCGACAGAAGAGTACTCAGAGAGAGGCAACACTGTCAGCTTTGGATATGAAGGCAGGAGACCATGACCCAAGGCATATAGGAAGATTGTAGAAGCTAGAGAAAGCAAGGAAACAGGTTCTCCTCTAGAACCTCCAGAAAAGAACACATCCCCAATGATCTTTTTTTTAAATTAATTAATTAATTAATTAGTTTGTTTTTTTGGCTGAGTTGGGTTTTTGTTGCTATGTGCAGGCTTTCTCCAGTTACGGTGAGTGGGGACTACTCTTCATTGTGGTGCATGGGCTTCTCATTGCGGTGGGTTCTCTTGTTGCGGAGCACAAGAGCACAAGCACAGGCTCTAGGCATGTGGGCTTCAGTAGCTGTGGCACACGGGCTCAGCAGTTGTGGCTCGCGGTCTCTAGAGCGTACGCTCAGTAGTTGAGGCGCACAGGCTTAGCTACTCCGCGGCATGTGGGATCTTCCCGGACCAGGACTCGAACACGTGCCCCCTGCATTGGCAGGCGGATTCTTAACCACTGCGCCACCAGGGAAGCCCTCCCAATGACATCCTGATTTTTAGCCTGGTGAGTGAGATGCATGTTGGGTTTCTAACCTATAGAACTGTAATAAGACACATTTGTACTGTTTTAAGCCACTGAAGTTGTGATAAGTTGTTAAAGCAGTAAGAGGTGATTAATACAAGGGAATCTGTGGGAATCCAGAGTCCTAATATTTCAAGAGAATTTGTTGGGCTCTAGGAATTCACCCAACCCCATTCACCCAGAGCTGTTTTTAAAGACCTTGTATTTTGGTGGGGACATGGAGGTTGGAAAAGTTCATTTGTTTAAATGTTGATTTCATGGACAGGCATATTCCTGCTAATATGGCCAGGATCCTGGAATTTAACACAGGAGGCTGGCCAGGGTAAGAAAGGAGTTACAATTCAGGAATTCCCTGCTATGAAGAGACTAAAGAATTTATCCTTACACATATACCCAAACCTTTGGAGGAGAAAGTATGCAGAGACCCTTTCCAGGCTCCCCTAACATGAATCGATGGGCCTGTGCAATCTGGGAGATTTGATGGGGGTTGAAAATGAAGGACATGGGCTTCCCTGGTGGCGCAGTGGTTGAGTCCGCCTGCCGATGCCGGGGACATGGGTTCGTGCCCCGGTCCGGGAAGATCCCACGTGCCGCGGAGCGGCTGGGCCTGTGAGCCATGGCCGCTGAGCCTGCGCGTCTGGAGCCTGTGCTCCGCAACGGGAGAGGCCACAGCACTGAGAGGCCCGCGTACCGCAAAAAAAAAAAAAAAAGGAAAATGAAGGACAATCTGTTTTCCTGTGGAGGCTGCAGTGACACTGAGGGGACTGGCCACAAACAACAGATAATTCTGGATTAAATGTGAATTCCCAGCTTGGTTTATGATATTCAGCATCTGTCGTGTACTGATTAGACATGTGCGTACCTTAGTTTAAAAAGTATCTATGGGTTGTATTCTTCTTATTAAGAGTTCTTTCCATATATTCTTTGTCTGAGAATTTGACACATTTAAAAATTTTTAAATGTGCAGTGGTATCTCACTGTGGTTTTAAATTGCATTTCTCCAATCCTTAATGATGTTGATCATCTTGTATGTGCTTATTTACCAAATGCACACTTTCTTTGGTAAAATTTCTTTGTCAATTATCTATCTATCTATCTAATCTATCATATTCTCTCTCTCAGTCTGTGTTATTTGTTTTTATTTTCGTGGTGTATTTTGAAGTCCAATTCATCTTTTTTTTTTTTTTTTGCATGATTGATGCTTTTGGAGACATAAGTGAAAAAAAAGTTCCTAACCCAAGACTGTGAAAATTTTTCTTGTTTTCTTCTAGAAATGTATAATTCTAACTTTTATGCTTAGGTGATTGACGTATTTTATATTAATTCATTGTATGGTGTTAATTTAGGGTTGAGTATTTTTTTTTCTGTATGAATATTTACTGTTCCAACTCCATTTGTTGGCAAGACCATCATTTCCCCCATTGAATTATCTTGTCATTTTTGTTGCACCGTAGAGGTGGGGGGGGGGAGGAGTTCTCTAGTGTGGTCCATTGATCTATATGTGTAAACTTTCTCACTATCATATATATTTCTTTTTTTTTTTTTTTCTTTTTGCGGTACGCGGGCCTCTCACTGTTGTGGCCTCTCCCATTGCGGAGCACAGGCTCCGGACGCGCAGGCTCAGCGGCCATGGCTCACGGGCCCAGCCGCTCCGCGGCACGTGGGATCTTCCCAGACCGGGGCACGAACCCGTGTCCCCTGCACCGGCAGGCGGACTCTCAACAACTGCGCCACCAGGGAAGCCCTATATTTCTTTAATATAACCTAAGTATGTGATTAAACCTGCTAGTGTAGGTCTTCCCTCATTTTTTAAATGGTTTTAACTACTCTAAAATATTTGCATTTTCATGTAAATATTAAAATAATCTCATAAGTTTCCTCAAAAATGCACATTACGGTTTTCATTACTATTATATTAAAAAATGAAACTTCTGTGGAGTTCTCCAATCAATGATCATAGTATACATCCCAACGTATTTACATCTTCTTGGTTTCTTGCAGCAAAATTCTATAGTTACCTGGATACAGGTCTTGCACATATTTTGCTAAAATTCCCACTAACTGTCTTGTGGTGTTGATGCTATTGTTTATCCTCTTGATTTTTTAAATTTCATTACTTTTTTATGTTAGACATTTTATTAAATATGCAGTAGTATCTCTTTGTGATTTTAATTTGCAGTTCTCCAATGACTAATTAGTTCAGCCCTTCTTATATGCTTATTTACCATATGTAGAACTTCTTTTGTAAAGTAGTTGTTCAATTTTTTGCCAATTTTGTATTTGGTTATTCATATTCTTGTTGAAATTTGAGAGTTCTTTATGTATTCAAGATACAGTCCCTTATTAGCTATGTGATTTTCCCCTAATCTGTTGCTTGCCTTTTATTCTTTTTTTTTTTTTTTTTTTTTTGCGGTACACGGGCCTCTCACTGTTGTGGCCTCTCCCATTGCGGAGCACAGGTTCTGGACACGCAGGCTCAGCGGCCATGGCTCACGGGCCCAGCCGCTCCGTGGCATGTAGGATCTTCCCAGACCGGGGCACGAACCCGTGTCCCCTGCATCGGCAGGCAGACTCTCAACCACTGCGCCACCAGGGAAGCCCTCCTTTTATTCTTTTAACAACATCTTTCAAATAGCATAATTTAAAGTTTAATGGAGTCCAATGTTTCAAAAGGTTCTTTTTTCAGCTTTGGTGATTGTGGTTCAGGGTGATTTGTGAGACTATGATCAAGAAGAAAATCAGAACCACAGATATCTCAAGACTCGAGTGTAGGAGGCTATGCCTCTCAGGTTACTTACTTGGCTCTTGGAAGAACTCAGTTTTTTGCCTTGAGACCCTCTTCACCTGCCTCATGACATGGCAGCTGGCTTCCCCTAGAGCAAGAAAGATGAGGGAGATCAAAAGAGTCTGCCCAAGAAGGAAGATGCAGTCTTTATAACCTAATCAGCAAATGGCATCCCATTACTCTGCAACATTCTATGCCTCAGAACTGTCATTAAATTGAGTGCACACTCAGATGGACGGGTTTACACACAAGTATGAGCAACAAGAGGCAGGAATATTCGAAGGGTATCTTAGAGGCTGTTTACTACACTTCACCCTCCGGCACCTAAAATTCACAACACTTCCACAGGCAAAATACTCTCATCCCCTCCCAAGGACTCCCAAATTCCCATTAAAGTATAAGCTAAAAAATCCGGAATCTTATCATCTAGATCAGGTCCAGGTATGGGTGAAACACCTCTGGTGTATTTCCTTTTGCAAATTACTAGAATCATCCCATTTCATGGAAGGGAACAGAGATCTCAAGTACTTATGTAGCCATACATTAGGCCCTAGGAAGGCCCTGGCTAGATCTTGTGGAAGGTCACACAAAGATCTGAGGCCAGTTATGAAGCTCCCAGGTCCTAGACTGGGCTAATTATATGCAACATTAATGGCTTCATCTTCAGTCTAAGAATGTCCAAGACTTCTCAGGCCCTCAGTGGAAGGAGATGCACAGGTCAATAATCAATGCTCGTGGCTCCCACCCCAATCTATGGGGCTGGCCATGCCCAAGCCATTACTAAGGCCAGTCCATGCCTCATTATGGGACGGGGAGAAAAGCAGGCTTTCTCTTATCTGAGTCTTTGAGGCCTCAACCAGCTCATCTGGTCTGCACTACAGCTTGTTGACGTCCTAAAAGGTCTCAGGTCTCCTTGACCCCTGGACACCCTGTGTGCAGCAATCACAGGGGAGCACAAGTCAAGCAAGGGAGTGTGCAGATGGAATGAAGGACTTGGTGGGAGGGCAATTACGGGTCAGAGAGCAGTCACCATGCCTTCACAAATTCTGGATACACACTGTCTGTAACCAGACCATCAGCTCCTTCCCAGTCCTGGCAAGGCCCAGGGCCAAGCGGGTGTTTGGCTAGAGGACGCAGGCAGGTCAGGCTCTGGTGGCCCTGTTCTCCTCCAGGGCTCTCCTCTTGGACTGTGACCCCAGGTCATAACCATTCTCCAAGATCTTCTCCGTACACAGCAGGAGATCACTCACTTCAGAATTAAATCCATTCGATCAGGCACGCTCTGGACCTCTCAAAGTCCCCAGGGTACAGTGGAGGAGACAGGGTTTGGCAGGATGGGCCTTGACTAGCTCATCTTGTCTGCCATGATTGCCATGATGACGCCTGAACTCCCAATGTGAGTGCCTCCTGCCTCGAGCCGTGTAGTCCCCCAAAGACCCTCTGAGAACAGGAGAGCAGGAAGAGGGATACAGGGCCACTGGGATTCAGAGGAAAACCAGATTGTAGATAGGAAGAAGTCACAGGCAGCACAGGAACCTCTCCCCATGCACCATGCCCTTTTCCACAGACCTGTCCATTACCCCATGAGCCATAGCCCTGTCCCTGCCTTGGACTGGGAGCCAGGCTTACAGGCTCATCAGAGGAAAAGGGTCAAGCTGCCAATGGCATCCATGAGGCACGACCCTACTCTTCGAACTACACCCACATCTCCAGACCATCTCCTGTGCGTGTCTAAGACCTTGTGGGATTTACCAGTCAAATGTAACACTCAACCCTCCAAACAGGCCAGATGTTCTCCCTGTCTCCCTATCCCAGACGACTCAAGGCTTCCATGATCTTTAAGAGAGGCTCACAAGATGAAAGTTTTCTTACCCCCAAAACACTCTGGATCTAGCACCCTCTCTAGCTTGAGGTTTTATACTCTCAGTGGGGTAAAGATGCAGACTATACTTGAGATTGAGGAAAAAACAGCGCCAGGAGTGTGACTTGCAGGTGAGGAAGAATTCAAATAGCAAAGTACAAGAATGAAGAGGCAGAGAGGAGAGGACAATTTGGGTATACTTATTTATTCTATTATACTGATGTGTGAACATCATAAGTGTACAACTCCATGAATCGTTACAAAACAAAACAAGTGCCCACATGCAGATAAGAATTCATGTGCTTAGTGAGCTTTGGGGGCTTGGAGGAGGGGTGATGGGATTAGCAAGAATGGTGTGTTTGGAATGACTGGTGAGCCTGGCAGTCTTAAGGTGTTTGGGAACATTGACAGGCTTGGGGAGATTTACGAGCTTAGAGATTAAGACAACTAACCAACTGGGTGAGGTGCAGTGAAATGCGGGAGGCTCTCATTTATATAGTTTCATTGACAGTGGGCAAGCACAGAGGGCCTCAGGAGCTGGTCACCAACAAGTGGACTGAACTCAGTGTTTTCATGCAAATGGGGCTTCTTCATGGGACAGGAATTCAGGAAGGCAGCAACCCACAATTGTTTTGAAATCTACCTACAGAGTTCAAAGTACAGCAAAGTGGGTCCCCGTCTGCTCTCCATTACTGCAGTCTACCCCAACTAGAGAAGAGAAGTGAATCAAATATTTGAGAAGAGGAAACAGAGTCTTGGTGAAGCCACGGAGCAGATAGATGGAGACAGGCTGAGAGTGAGCGGGAAGAGAAGGGGCAGGAAAAACAGAGACCAGATCACACAGAGAACAGCAACGGGATCAGAAAGTAGGAAGAGAGGGATCAGGGAATGTGGTAAAGGAGCTGGGAACAGGGACAGGCACTGGGGAGGAGGAAGGAGAGCAGGGTCAGTGAGTGAACGCAGGGAAGGAGAAGAAAAAGCAGAGAACAAGGAACACGGAGAAGCAGTAGGGAACATGGAGGGAAAACAAGCCATAGTCCTGGAGAGCTGCAGGGTCAGCTGCTTGTGGTGCCGTTTCATCCCACGTGTTGTGTACCAGGAAACCTGGTTTTGCTCAAAATGCAGCACCATCCAGGAATCCATAGGGCAAATACTGTGACTCAGATAACCTGTTATACAGATAACTTTGAGGGAACACACGGTACAACATTAGAGCCAGAACAACGTGTCCAGATAGCTCCATAAAAGGACACGTTGTGGTTCACAAGGGTCAGTTCCAGAAGCTCAGAGGACGCTGAGGCAGGTAAGGAATCCTCTAGGACTCCTTGTTCTGCAGCACAGTGTCCTGGAGTCAACTCAGGGCAGAAGACCTTACGTGAGAGGTTCTGTGTGGCCAGGCCCATGTCTGAGACCCAGCTACAGGGAATCGTGCAGGGCAAGGAGACTGGCGTGGGTCACGAAGCCCACACGAGGAAAGCTTTGCTTGGGACTCCAGCCTCATGGCTGTTCTCAAGCAGAATCAATGACGTGGCTAATTAGAAGACAGCAAATGTCCTCACAAAGCTTTTGGTCATCTACGGGGAGAAAAGCAATGAAATGGGACAGAAGAGTTTCTGTGGGATGAAGGGCCAGAGTCTTGTTCTTTCAACAGGACCTGGTGGAGGCCTGAGACCCACCTGGCTCCCTCAGCTACAGCAGACTGGGGTGGGGGGCGGGGTGGGGGGTGAAGGGTTCTGGGGCTACAAGTAGGAGGAAACATTGAAGGATATACCTGCCTGACGATGAACTCATTAAGTGTGTATTATCAGTAACCTTGCTGACATCATCACCAACACTATGTCAATATAACGGGGATGACGCACAGACACTAGAGGCTTGTGACAAGTTTCCACAAAGCACATCAAAGAGAATGGAGCCAGACCCCTAGGATGAAATCCAGGATGTTTTCTTCCTGACGTTTATCCCTCGGCATTAGGTCAGTTGCCCCGGCCTTACCTCAGGTTCCTGGCTTCATAGCTGGTGCCACAGCTTTATTTCACGTTCCCTCTTTATGTCTGGTCCTTGGGCTGAACGTCATGTGCCCAGCTTTTGTAACATAACTGGCACTAAATACAAGGGTCCGCATACTTTATCTCAGTTTCCTGGCATTTACGTCACCTGACCCTGCTTTGTGACACTTTACCCTGCTCTACTTCAGTTGACAATGCTTTACGGCACACCAGGCTTTGTTTACATTAATTTCCCAGGCTTTACGTCACCTTACCCTGTTTTACATCACTTGACAATGCTTTACGACACTTCCAGGCTTTACATCAGCTGACTTTGCTTTACCTCACCTGACCCTGTTTTATGGCATTCCTCCTGCCTGGCATGACCTCAGGTTTTCAGGGTTTTCGTCAGGTGATCTGGCTTTACCCGTCTTATCCCGGTTTAACTTTCCTAACCCTGCTTTTCTTCAAGAGCTTAGCTTTATGTCAAGAGCCTGGCTTTCTGTAACGTGCCCGGCCTTACATCAGGCCCTGTAACAGGGAAGAACTAATCTGGTTTCGTATTACATCTTTCTTTTATTTTAACTTTTGTTTTCTATTTTTACTACAAGATAATCACTAAAGGAATGTTGCCTATAGCTTAAAATATACATAATGGCCTGTCTTCTCTGAGAGCCCTGCCGCACCCCCAGCCCCATGCCTGAATGTTAAACTAAAATACCTTTGTTCAGCTCACAGGAAACATCCTGACCCAGCCCACCTGTAAATGGCTGCAGGCAACAAGAAATGAACACATCCCCTCCGGGAGTCTGGATTAAGCCAGGAGATGTTTGCAACAACTCATGGCCTTTTAGTTTACCTCCTCACCTCTCCCTTTACGTGTTCTCTAAAAGAAACTAGCATCCAGACCCTAGTAAGATGCTTCTCTAGGACACTGGTCCGCCATTTTCTTCGACTCCCGGCATTCCAAACAAAGTGGTCATTCCATGCCCCAACACCTTCGCTCCCGATTTATTGGCCTGTCTTGCAGCAAGGAGAATGAGCTTGGACTCGATAACAAGCCTAGAACTAAGAAAGAGATGATATTATATTGTAATAGTGTATGGCCACAATATGTTAGGATCAGAAGAGCGATGGCCCCTGAATAACTCACTCAATTATTACACGATCTTGCAGTTAGAATTGTTTTGTGAAAGAGCAGGGGAAAATGACAAGATCCTACACACTGAAGCATTTATA